TGCAGGACCTCTCTGACTTTGAGGGAGTCAGTGGTTCCTCCCAGTTTAGTATCGCAGGCAAACTTAGTATACCTTTGAGTCCTGGGTCTGAAACATTTATGAAGACATTGAAGAGCACTGATCCTAAAATGGAACTCTGCAGAATCCCACTAGAGACCAGTAGACAGCCTGATGTTACCCTGTTTAGTATAACCCTTTGCACCCAACCCATGAGCCAAATTGCTCACCCACAACATGATGTATTGTCCAGCTGTGTGCTGGACAGTTTGTCCAGAAGGATTCTGTGAAAGACAGTATTGAAAGCTTTACTGACATCAAAAAAGATTACATCAACTTTCTTTCCTTGGTCAGTTAGGTGGGTTACCTTCTCATAAATGGAAAACAGGTTTGTCAAGCAGGACTTTCTCCTCCTGAAGTCGTGCTGGTTGTGATCCATGCATGACTGCATTGTCCTTCTGATGTTTTTCAACACCTCCCAGAATAATCTTCTCTGTAGTTTTACCAGTTGCTGAAGTGAGATTGACAAGTCTGTAGTTTCCAGGGTCCTCCTTCTTGCCCTTCTTGAAAATCAGGACAACGTTTGCCAGCTTCAGGCAAAGGAATTCCTGTTAGGCCCTGGCCTTTGTGTACTGAGTTGACTGGTGAAGCACCCCTTGACCATAGCAGGAACTCTTGCATGGCTAAGATGAGGGTGACACTGTCTGTGCCAGTTACTCTTGTTGCCTGACAAAGGAGGGGAATAGGAGATATTCAGTCATTGCCTGAGAACCTCAGAATACTCCTTAAATGAATTGTAGTCTCAGTGGAATGGTACAACTGTTACTGGACTTTTGAAAAATTCCAGTAATTACTGACTTGGATTGCAACCAGGATAGAAACAAACTGACTGATGACTAAAGCTAATCATCTTGTGACCCTATAAATATTTGTCCTAAGTGAGGCCCTTTGAGCTCCCCTAGACTGCAGCCAGCATCTCCCTCTCAGAGCTCATGAACTCTCAAGTTTACGATCATTGGAGAATCATCCCTGGAAGCTGACGACAGTGCCTGGGCTGATATCCCCCATTCTTGAGGCTCGACCCTTGCCCGTTGAGAAATGCTAAGACATTTAAAGTGTCTATTTGTCCTGGTTTTGTCTGGAACAGAGTTTATTTTCCTAGTAGCAGTGCTGTGTTTTGGATTTACTATGACAATAATGTTGATAACACACTGATGTTTTGGTCGTTGCTCAGTAGCCCTTACCCTAAGTCAAGGACTTTTTGTCCTTGTCTCATGCTCTGCCAGTGAGGAGGTGCACAAGAAGCTGTGAGGGAGCATAGCTGGGACAGATGACCTGAGCTGGCCAAAGGGGTATTCCCTTCCATATAGTGCCAAGCCCAGTTTATAAACTGGTGGAGTTTAGCTGGAAGGGGCTGATCACTGTTTTGGGACAGGATGGGCATCAGTCAGCAGTGGGGGAGAAATTGTACTGCGCATCACTTTGGTCTTTTATCTTATCTCAACCTATGATTTTTTCCTTTACTGATTCTCCTTCCCATCACATGAGGGCCAGGGTAGAAAGGGAGTGAGGGAGCAGATTTAACAGCTACACCTTTCCATATTTAGATATATTTTTTAATCTATCTATCTATCTATCTATCTATCTATCTATCTATCTATCTATC